ACAAAATAACTAATGTGTTTTACAAACTAAAATGACCAGCAAAGGTAAAAGTGAAAATAAGTTGTTACATTGTAACTGGAATCACTATCATGTTCTGCCAACACAAGGGTTGCAGTTATTCTCACCCTCATCCAACATTGTGGTTTTTTTACTTTTAAAAACACCGTGCCCCCTGAGCTTCAGCACAAGAGTATTTCTGAGGTGCTACCCCACTCTTGGTCACCAGCCAAAATAAAGGACCCCTTATGCTCTTCATTGGCTTAAGAAGCGTGATGTATTTCACACACGTAACATTTTACTGGCAGGTCAATCAACCCTATGCATTTTCTTCATCTATACCAGAAAAACAAAACAAAAACCATGTCCGTGGGTAAAAACTGTGCCCACCATGATGCAAAGCTCAGGCATAGATCCAGCTGCACTGATGTATAACCATCAAAGTGGGACTGGAACCCATCCTCAGTGGACCGAAGGGATGCTGGCCTCCGAGGACAAGCTTTAGGAGCAGGTTACAGATGAGACCTGTCCGGAGACCCAAGAAGCCTCCCCTGAAACAGCTCTCAACGGGCCGGAAGAGGGACAGGAAAGAAGAAACCACTGGGAAAGCCAGGTCAGCTTCAGCACCATCGACCACCTAGCAAGATGCCCATGTCCTCCCCCTGCCCTTCCCATGACCCTGCTCTCCCTCATCCCATGGCTCAGCTTCTAAGCTCAGCTCTGACAAGGGCTAGGACAGCTGACAGCATGGCAGCCTAGCTGCAAGCTCACCAACATCGAAGAGGGGACCAGTGTCTTAGTCAGGGTTTCTATTGCTGTGATGAAACCATGACCAAAAAGCAAGCTGGGGAGGAAAAGATTAATGGCTCACACTTCCACATCACTGTTCATCATGGAAGGAAGTCAGGACAGGACCTCAAAAGGGGCAGGAACTTGGAGGCAGGAGCTGATACAGAGGCCATAGCAGGTCCTGCTTACTGGCTTGTTCCTCGAGGTTTCGTGGAGAACCCTGGACCAGCAGCCCAAAGTTGGCACCACCCACCATGGACTGGGTCCTCCTCCATCAATCACTAATTAAGAAAATGCCTTACAGCGAGATCTTCTGGGAGCATTTTGTCAATCGAAGCTCCCTCCTTTCAAACGACTCTAGCTTGTGTCAAGTTGACATGACACTAGCCAGCACAACCACCCAGGCAGGGGAGCTGTCCCTTCAGTCCTCTGCAGCTCAGAGGCCATTGGCTTTCCAAGGTCTCCCAGAGGGCACTGCGCTCTCATGGCCAGTGGAGCCTGGCTCCGGGGCTTTAGAGAGGCTATACCACAGCCCTCTGCATAATCAATAAGGGCCCGGATGAAGCCCTCAGTGCCAGTGTGACAAGACTGGAAGGTGTTTCCACACAGAGTACAGACATCCCAGGAGCACATGTATACAGCATACACGTGCATACACATGTAGACACATATGCAACAGGCACACAGAAATGCACACAATGAATTTAAATGCCGATGCACATTTAAACCACTAACGACACTCTCCAAAGTTCAGAGGAGCAGAGCTAGAAATCACATGTTTTAAGGAACAAGTACATGATTAAGTGTGAAGTTGGGTGTATGTGTGTGTTAAATCGGACAGATAAATTAGCGGCTCTTCCTTTAGCTTCTGGGAAATGTTTCAAAACAGGGCAGAACAGAGAGTTTTTATTTGCAAACACTATTAACCATTTCCTGTTCCAACCTCAGAAGTACCTTTGAATCAGCCTGTCACCTGGGTCGCTGAGCCCTGAAACCCCATGAGACCTCACTGTGGGCCACAGTGGGTTTTGGGTCTGGATTCTGGCCCGCCCCTCTACCTCCTGTTTCCCTTGCAGTTGTTTCAAAATGATCCTTCTGTTTTCTGAACTTTCTGCCCGTGTCCCCATCTAAATGGAAACTTCCCATTACCTCCAGGGTGCGGGGGTTCCCTCTCCCTAACTTTCCACCAGTGCTGCCTTTGTGTCATAATCTTGAGGTCAACACCCTGGAAACTCATGCTTCTCTGCTGTCCAAAAGGAGGGGAGCCCCCAACCCCCCAGGCGGGGTGACTTCTAGGACTTGACACAGGGAAGCTCTGCTAGTGACCACTGAGACCAGCCTTGGGTCGACTCTTCCAGCCTTTCTTACCGAGCATTTTCTCAGCGAGTCCAGTAAGAAACAGATGTGGATGCAGGCTCTCCAGTTCGTGCTACCATGGCAACCTCATCTCCAATGATCACATTCTTGAAATGATAACTGGTGGCCATACCCACATCCTCACAAGAATGTCCCTGGCAGTTCTGTCCCCAGCAACTGGGATCTTCCCACCCTTGCCTTGGTTGGAAACAGCCACACCACCAACTCTGGCTCAGTACTCAAAAGGGACTAGAGAGCTGCCCTGGAACTCAAGGGAATGATGCCCCGTAGAAACCCAGAGCAACAGGCACCTGCTGTACCACACAGAGCAGGTAACCAGCACAGTGGGATAGCATGTGTGTTTTGGACATTGTGTGTATATTGGGAGGTAGTATGTGTGCCGGACATTAAGTGTGTATTGGGACATAGCATGTGTATCAGAAGATAGCACAGGTATTGAGGAGAAAGTGAGTCTTGAGGATTGTGTGTGTGTTGTGAGATAGTGTATGTGTTTGAGACTGTCGGTTATGTGTTAGGGATTGCATGTGTATTAAGAGGCAGCATTATGCTGGGTATCGCTTTTCTAGGGAAGAGAATGTGTTAGGGATTTTATATGTATTGAAAAATAGCATGAGCTGGGTGGTGGTTGCTCACGCCTTAACCTCAGCACGCAGGAGGCCAAGGAAGGTGGTTCTCTGTGAGTTCGAGGCCAGCCTGGTCTACAGAGCAAGTTCCAGGACAGCCAGGGCTACACAGAGAAACCCTGTCTCAAAAGAAAATAGCATGAGTATTAGGATTGGGTGTGTATTGCAGGATAGTATTGTGTTAGGGACTGCACGCCATGGAACATAATGTGTTTGTATTCAGGATTGAGTATTGGAGGACAGCATGTGTCTTAGAGATTATATGTGTCATTTGGAGAACACATGAGAATTGGGAGATCATATGTACTTTATAGAGCATGTGTGCTTGAGGATAGCATGTGTATTTTGGATTGTGGGTCTGGGAGAACAATATGCATGTTGAGGACTGTGAATTTTGTAGGGGATTATCTGGTAAGTAGTGTGAGTTGGGGTGTGACCCAGTGACCCTTCTCTAGATCTGGTCCTAGGACCCTGCTGCTCCACACACAGTACGGCTCTTTCCCTGCTGCCCTTTCTCTCCTGCTGTCTGCTTCCTTGCAGGCCCTGGGACCCACAAGGCAAAGAACTCAGACCCTCTCAGGCAAACATCCCTCACCAATGGGGGCTATTGGCACAGGGAAGCCAAGTGGGTTATTCCAGGTCCAGCCTTGTTCCTCCCCCCACTGCTAGGGAGGAGAAAGGAGAGAAGGGAGGAACAGGCCTAGGGATAAAGAGAAGGAAGAAGGTACAGCAGAAGGGAGGGAGAGAGATGGGCGGGGGTTCCCTCCCTCTCCATGAGGACATGGCCCACTACCTGCTGGCCTGGGATGTTGCATATACCTCCAGGGATGGGATGACAGCTTGCTGCTCAGACTCCAGCTCCTCTCCAATCTACAAAGTCTCAGTCCGAACATCACAGTCTAGACAGAACATCAGAACAAGGCTGCATGGGATCTGTCCAGAATCCGTTCGAGGCCTATGGCTGTCTCCTAATCGCCCAGCTTGGTTGGGGACTTGCTAGCCTGAGCATGCCTGGGAACCACAAGGGCGTCGGGAGGGGATCCCCCTCGCTCCTGCCCACAAGCCCCACACTGAGACTGGGGGCGGCCAGTCTGTGCCTCACACTCTTTTTCCATCTCTGTATTGTACAAAGTAACGTTTCCTTCGCCGCTAAGCCGGTGCCTCTGAACTAGGGCGGCTGCCACGGCTGCCAGATGGTTTCCAGCCGTGCTAGCTATTTTAGGGTTGTGAACCCCATACATCTCACTGCTAATATCAGCAGTTTTTCCTATTTCCCATTCACACTTAGAACACAACTGTTAAGTAATCAGAGATCTTCACAAACTACCAGCCAACCTGGGGCTGTGCACACGGGTCTGCTGGAAAAGACCCAAGTCTGTGACCACTCAAACTTGGTGTTGGGGGTCTGTCAGGCAAAGAGGAAGACCCAGGGCAGCTGGACCTTGAGAGCTAGGACCATTGTGGGAGCAGAGACGACAGTGGCCCAGGCAGGAGGGCTCAGTGTCTTGAAGGGAAGTAAAACCATGAGAGAAAGCTACACCAGGCCCAGGGCCTTTCTGAGGCTGGCGATACGGCTAGGCAGGAAAGCATCTTCTGGGGGTACCAGGAGAGGCTCACCATAGCCCTTCCAGGCCTCTCTGACCCATCAGGCAGAGAAGATGGGGATGGCTGGGCTCTCGCTCCCCAAAAGTGAAGGACTAAGGCACAGCTCGAGGGACTCCAGGTCATACATGTCAGACAAGGTAGGAGAAGGTTCCTGTTCACCCTCACTGCAGCCAGGGAGGAGGCCCATCCTTCAAAGGGATAAGAGTCTGGCCCTGATCTCAAGCTCCCTAAGCCCCAGGAACTAGGGATCAGCATACAGTGAATGCAAAGGACCAAAACTGTCCACAGGAGGGGCCTGAAGTGGAGAAGACCCCATAGTGCGACAGGAGGGAAGGGCAGCTGGTCTCTCCCCTCCTCTCTCTCTCTCTCTCTCTCTCTCTGTCTCTCTCTGTCTCTGTCTCTCTCTCTGTCTCTCTCTCTCCCCTCCCCCCACAGCTCCCTCACTGGTCCCTACCTGCTCTTCCCAGGCATCTTTCCCTCCCACTCCTCCATCCCCCTTCCTTGCCCCTCCCCCATATCTCGTTGCCTATTCTCCCACCTCTGTGGAGGTGGAGGAAGAGGGGGCGGGAGCCAAGAACAGGTCTCCTCCCTCCAACATAACCCAGGACAGTTTCCTTTCCGCTAGAGACAACTGCCAGAGCAGCCGAGGAGGAGGAGACCACAGCTGCGGTTGACGGAGGCACAGCCAGGGGCTCTGGGCATGTGGGTCCCGCAGGTGTGCTGGACACTCACTTGGGCTGTGCTGCAGTTCAGCTGGCAAGCAGGGTGGCTTCTAGGTATGTGGCTCCTAGGGACGCGGGATCAGGGTTGGTGGCTGGGCCAGGGCTTGAAGAATCCGTCGTCATCCTCCGTCCCTGTTACTGGATGTAAGAACCCTGAACTCGGGGGGCGCCCGTGCCCCTGGTTGCCCGGACTGGCTCCTTTTTCAGCTCTCGGGGGTTTTTACAGGTGGAGTGCCTTTCAGGGCTCGGGACCCACTCCCCACTTTCTCTCAGGTAGACTGAACGTTTGTCCAGTCTCAGCCGATTCTTTATGTCCTTCTTTGTGGAACACTAGCGGGTCTGGCCAGAGCTCTGGCCTTGGCAGCTGTGGCCCTGCTTCAGGATTCTGGCAGGTGCTGGTGTCCTTGGCCCTCCCTGTGTTTTTCTATAGTTGGGGACATCCCTACATGAGGCCTGCCTTACACACTGGAGAGATGACTGGCGATCTAAGGCCAAGGGTGTAATCAGCTGTGTGTCCTCACGGGCTTGGTGACTTCCTGTGCTGACATCTCTGGAGGACTCCAGTCTGCACATTCCTGGCCTCATAGCGTCTGTGGTGGACTCTGGGGAGGTTGAGATCGAGGGGTACAGCAATCCTAGTCAAATTCCTCACAGCGAAAACTCCACCTCACCCCGCTGTACCCCTTGACCTCTGCCCTCTACTCTCTCGACTAAGCCCATCCTCACTGGGAACCCAGGGCTAGAGGAAGAGTCACCTAGCTCCTGGAGTCACCTAGCTCCTGGGTCAGACCTCCTGCCGAGCATGGGAGAGTGATCCAGACAAGTTTATACCCTGTGCTGCCCTGGGACATGTTTTACCTGTAATGATGCCCCCTGCTCATACGACGCCTCAGTCACCTTGACTCCGGCCTCTTCACTCTCGTGAGAGCTGGGCGGGACTGGAAGCTAGGTGCTCATCATTGTAGGTCCTCTCCATGATGCAGGCCAAGGCTGGCTGGGAGGCTGGGGATGCTTTTCTTCCATGCTGGCCCCTGGTGGGAGAGCCCCTGGACTGCTGTCAGGGCTGGTGAGGAAATGATGATCCAAGGCCCTCTGGATAAAAGATGTCCCTTGAGGGAACCTAGGGCAGGAAGCAAAGGGAGAAGGACATGAGACAGAAAGGGGACCGTGACTCACTCTGGTGACCTGGCACACTGGGCATGCCCCCAAATGCAACATCATGACGAAATACGGAAAGACGAGTGTATTTATGCAGGCCAACTCTAGATTGTGTCTGACAAATGTCCTGAATCTGGCATGCCTCTCTCGCCATCTAAATAGCACTGAACACTTCACGTGACCAGTGAGTGCCCTGCCCCTTGGCAGAGCTGGACCTTGGGTCCAGGACATTTCTTCCTTCCCACAGACAGCCCCTCTCACGCTTACTAGTCCCCCAACCTCAACAATGGCTGCCTAGTGACTAAGGTGAGGAAAATTCAGGCTTGGCAACGGACCATCCTGTATCTATTCTAAAGGCAGACATAGTGGAGCATGCCTGTCCAAAGTTCAAAGCCAGCCTGGGCTGCCTTGCTGGCAGACCCTTTCGGAAAAAGCTGTAAGTTAGTCAGTAAAGCCGTGAGCATGGTGACCTTCGGCAAGCCACTCAGTCTCTTTACCGTTTTCTCACCTACATTTTTTCTTTTGTTCTTTCATTTTATTATTTTATCTTTTGTGTACAGATGTTTCGCCTGTGTGTCTGTGCATTATGTGTGTGCCTGGTGTCTGGGGCCAGAAGAAGGCATTGGCTTCCCTGGAACTGGAGTTACATATGGTTGTGAGCTGCCATGTGGGTGCTGGGAATTAAATCCGGGTCCAATGGAAGAACAGCCCCAGCTTTTAGCAGCTGAGGCATTTCTTATACCTCGTGGGTCATAAGATTTCATCAGACCAGCCGGGCGGTGGTGGCGCACGCCTTTAATCCCAGCACTCGGGAGGCAGAGGCAGGTGGATCTCTGTGAGTTCGAGGCCGGGCTGGACCGACAGCCTCCAAAACAATACAGAGAAACCCTGTCTCGTAAAAAACAAAAAAAAATATTTAATCAGACCACTGCCAAACTCATCCTAAGACACATTTCTACATTTCTTCCTCCTCCTTACCCTCTTCCTCCTCATCTTCTTCCTCCTCCCCTTCTATTCTCCTTTTTTGTTTTGTTTACACAGTGTTTCTCTGTGTAACTTTTGGAGCCTGTCTTGGGACGCGCTCTGTAGACCAGGCTGACCTCAAACTCACAGAGATCTGCCTGCCTCTGCCTCCTGAGTGCTGGGATCAAAGGTATGCACCACCGCCACCCGGCTAAGTCACAATTCTTAAAGTCAGACTTGCTTTTTAAAAGCTATAGTTTTGAAAAGTATCCACATAAAAATAAGTACATACACATCTGCATATATAGCTTATTAAGTCCATTTAGCTTTGCTCATACGTGCACATGTTCAGGGTTGACCGCTTGGGATTGGACAGCCTTCATGGGAGTTTGTCTTTGGGCAACTGATTCCCTCTCTCCCAAAAGCCATTAACCTCCTGTAGCGCCTCATATGGGGATAAGAGCATGTGGAATTCCCTCTGTTCACATCTGTGCGGCAACTGGTGTTATGATTATGCTAGTCTTGTGTTCAGTCTGGTTGAAAGTTCATGGGTGCGTTTTCCCTGTGGTGTCTAGGGAACACTCTCCATCATCAGGTCCACTGGGCCTCCAGCTCTGACCCGCCTTCCACACTCTCTTCTGAGCTTTGCCCTGAGCCTTAGGTCTAGGGTTTGAGCTCCAAATGTATCAGCTGGAGTTGTCACTTACTCTCTGCATTTTGAGCAGTTGGGTATCTCTGTAATCACCTCCTTATGTTGCAAAAGAACCTTCTTTGATAAGGGGTGAGAGAGAGCTACACTAATTTGTGGGTATAAGGATAGATATTTAGAAAACAGTTATAGACAGATGATAATGAATGGATAGGGGTAGGGGTGTGTGTGTGTGTGTGTGTGTGTGTGTGTGTGTGTGTGTGTTGTGATATTAGTTTAGAATACAGACCTTTTTGGGGGGCAATGTCTCATCAGATTGCCCAGGCCAGTCTCAAACGAAAGATTGCCCAGCACTAATTTCCCAGGTGCTGAGGTCAGCAGCGCACAACCTCACTTGGCGGAGAAGCAAGTTAGGAAGCTCTGTCTCAGGCTCAGGGCCTTAAATTGGAACTCAAGATAGGGGCTCCTCAGTCCCCATGGGCCAGTATGTTCCTGGTCCCCCTCCTGCCTCTGAATTTCCCAGCAACCTTTGGGTTCCTTGGTACCTAGGCGCATCCCCCACCTCTACCTTTATCCTGATGCATTAGTCAGTGTCCAAAATTCCCTTTCTACGAAGGCACTAGTCCCGCTAGCTGAGACGTGCCCTACTCCTACCTTATCTTAATTAATCCCATAGCTAGCCCCTACTGCTAGCAAAGTTCCATCCCAAGGTGCTGGAATGAAGATGCCAGTTTGAGTCTAGGAATAGTTCGCCCCCAAATCCCATCTCCTCACATCACTGCATCAGCAGCAGATGTTACAAAGCCCTTCACCCCTCCCTCATCCCCGGAAGTCCCCCAGAGACATATTCCCACCTAGATACAGCTGGAGCTCTGAGATTGTGTTTCCGGCTGGCTTGCCTCTCCTTGGCTGGGACCCTTGTGGGTGACGTGGTTTTGGCTGAGTGTCTGCGGGTCCTCCGCCTCCCCTTTGGCTTGGTTGGCCTGTGCCCTTAGTAGTTTAGGCAGGAAAGGTGGAGTGCCATCTGGGGCATCACACGGCTACTTGAAACTACAGTCCTGATGCCTTTGGAGGTGCCCGTCTGAGATCCTCACACTGAGGACATTCCTCCAGGTGGAAATTGGGGATGCAATCTATTTGTAATGAATAAGGAGACCCCTGTCACCCACCTGACCATGTTTTCATTGTCCCAGATGAATCTTGTCTAAATAAGGTATGGGATGCTTCTGTGTGGTTATGATTTGACCTCAGCCTACAGGAGCTGGTGATCTGCAGTGAGCTTGCTGTGTGACCCTCCAGGCTCAGATTCAGGCTCAGGCATGGTAACCTCGGCATGCCACTCACCCATGAGCTCACCTCTGTACATGAATCCAAGAGCAAGCTCAGGGAAATCAAGAAGACCCCTGTCGCTTCTATGCAGATCTTTGCACCAGCTAAGGAGGCCAGGGATGCTCCCTGGAGGAGAGAGCCTCGCTTAGTCCCTCTTCTGTTATTCTGGGTGATTTGTGAAGAATAAGGTTTAATCATCTCAGGGCTCCTAAGGTAGGAGTCTGAGGTCAAGGAGTGACCTCCAGTGAGTCCTTCCTGCCAGTGGGAAGACTGCAGAGTCCCAAAGCAGTTCCAGAAATCCTAGAGAAGGGCAGACCAAGCAAATGTTGTCTTACAGCCCAGCCTCTCTCTCTCTCTCTCTCTCTCTCTCTCTCTCTCTCTCTCTCTCTCTCTCTCTCTCTCTCTCTCTCTCCTCTCTCTCTCTCTCTCTCTCTCTCTCTCTCTCTCTCTCTCTCTCTCTCTCTCTCTCTCTCTCTCTCTCTCTCTCTCTCTCTCTCCAGCACATGATCCAACAGTCTGTGAGTGGACACCCTGTTGCCTCCAGAGCTCTCCCTTCCCAGTATCTCTAGTATATGACTTCAGGGTTAGTGTTCTGGGCACAGACACTCACTGATGGCGTGATTATGGGGTAAAAACTCCCAAGTAAGTTAGACAAGAGTGGGTTTGAAGAGCCTCACTCACCAGCATCGGCATGCGTACACTGGGCCTCCAGGAGCAGGAGTCCTAGGATAGGTTGGGCAGGGGAAAGGGACCCTTTACATTACATTCTGGTCCTCACACCTCACTAGGTTGAAGGGCAAGGGGTGAGTTCAACTAGGCTGGCTCTGCTCTGGGTACATCCCCAAAAGGGGTTCCAGTCTGTTCTAGGTTCCCAGATCCTGGTTAGATGCCCACGAGACGAGAGACTTGAAAAAGGGCCAAATCTCACTGGCATGCACACTGGCATGTGAAAGGA